TATTTTGTGGATGAAAAGGGGTTTCTGCGCCGTACTAGGGCAACACGGGAGCTCATTGTGGTACCGGAGGTGCTGGTGGATGCAGTGCTGGACGCGCTGCATGGATCAAAGCTCAGCGGGCACTACAGGGTGAGGCGGACCACGGATCGACTTTGCCGTTCCTTTTGGTGGCCTGGTTGGAAGCAGAATGTGGAAAAGCGATTGCGATGCTGCGTAGCATGCACCGCCACAAAGGCTACCCAGCCCGCAAAGCACGCTAAGATGGTAGTTTATCATCCGCAAAGGAGGTTCCAGCAAGTCGCAGTCGACGTCCAGTCCGTCACACCGAGAACTGCAGCCGGGAGTGCAAAATTTTTAGTGATCGTTGATACTTTCACGCGCTTCGCTCGCGCGATTCCTATACCGGATGAACGTGCTGACACCGTCGCCAAGCGGATACTTGACGAATGGGTGTCAATTTTCGGTCCTATGGAGAGTCTTTTGTCAGATCGGGGGCCGAATTTCATCGGGACTGTAGTCAAGAAGATGGCGGAGCAACTCGGTGTGAGACGTGTGAAGACCCCACCCACAAGCAAACGGCTGTGTGGAGAGGTGGAATAGGACTTTGATGCAGGACTTTGCCTGCTTCATGAGCGCCGGGAGCGAGGATTGGGATGCGCACGTTGCCCTAGCATGCTTCCGGTACAATACAGGCGTGTGCGAGGCTACTGCTTTGACTCCATATGAGGCAATGTTTGGCATCCCTGCGTTTATGTCTTGGGGTCCTGAGGAAGCCAGCCGCGTTCGAGGAGAGCCGTATGACCTGGGAAATCATCTCGAAGCACTACACGACAGATTGCTGTCACGCCGAATGAATTCAAGGGAAGCCGCTGCGCAGGGATATGACAAAGACGTGAGGGACCTGGGATTTGTTGTCGGAGACCGGGTTCTGGTGTGGTCTCCAGAACTCGCCAGCAAAGAAGGTAACAAAATCATCCGACCCTGGCTCGGACTGTACCGCGTTGACGAAGTCCTGTCTCCCGTGAGCTTCCTCCTGAAGTCAGAGTTGGGGAAGAAGGTCGCTCGCGTCCACCCGAACCGGATGCAGAAGATTGCTGCCGGCGCGACTCAGACCTGCTGTGCGAGGAATGGCGTGTTTCCGGATGGATTGAGACTACTAGAGCGCATGAAGGATTGGAAAGAATTTGTGGAGCCTCGAACTGGGAAGAGGCAAAGGCTGTTCAAGGTTCGTATCGCCGGCAGGAAGTCCCCAAGCTGGACAAAAGAGGAAGACATACCAAACGTAATTGTGCAGATGTTTGATCGCAGGGAAAGAGAATCGCGGAGCAATCCCGGGGAATGAGCAGAGGCGAAGGAAAAGGGACGGATGTTGAGGAATGACTTAGAAACACGTGGAGACGTGGATAACGGGTCCATGAACCGGAACTGAAGGGCACGCGCGCTCCTGTAGGGAACCGAAAGCGCGGGGGATCCAGTTCCCGAAGGGAAACGAAGACGGCAACGGATGGCAGGAGTCGGGGCGAGGCGAGCGCGGGGCTGTCGGTAAGGGAAGCGAAAGGAAAGGCAGCGAGGGATTAGTCATTTTTATGGGGCAAGAGAGGGAGAGAGACGACGAAGGGAGTAGGCAAGGGGGGGTCAGAGACAGCCGAGCCCCCTCGGGGAAGTAGTATTTAATAGCCAACCCTCGGAGATAGACAAGAGGGGGGCAGAGGCGGAGCAATAACCTGTTGAATTCAACAGGTTGCTCGGTGCCAGGCGGTTGAGATAATCGCAACAGTACAACAATAAAAAATGGCTTGCGTTGTACCCTTTCATTGGCGTAGTGTGTGGCACGGCTCAAATTAGGACACCAAAATTATAATGCCGCGCCGCATAGTTTCGCCATATGATTTTGCTAAATTATTTCGCAACGAATTAAATCTATTCGTTTGATGAAAAATAGTCATGCTCTGACAAACGGTCAGTTTTCTGCTCCTCATGCTTTAGCAGAGGTTTCCGTCGCTCTCAATAATGATTATGTGTTGCGCAACATTCTAAGAAAAGATGTATGCCTGTAAAAGAACCCCACACCTAAGAAATCTAATAGAAAATTCCTCGCAACAAGAAACGCAGCGACGGTTGGCAATTTGCAGTCCACTCGTGCTCGTTTGGAGGGGCGGAATCCCCCAAAGGCGCCCGTACCCGACGTTTATCACATTCAGGAGTATAATGTAGAGAATGATACTGCAAACAAAGAAAATAGGGACTCTCAAAAACGTCTGAAAGCGCAGTCTGCGGTGTCGCCTCTCGAAGACATAGTTGGCGACGACTTGCCGATCTCGCAATGGCCAAGAGCCCGAAAACAGCGGAGGTTGAGGAAGGCGAGTTGTTTAGGACCCGCAAGCACACGGCAGCGTCGGCTTTGTTGGGTCTCTCCCATTACAGATGAAGCGTGAAAGACATGAGATTTCTCGTCGTCCCACTTTGACCCAGGCACAGTTTGGACACCAATTCTCCGGTCCAAATTAAAGATGTTTTTCCTCAAATACGCACTGCATTCACATATTTTATCATAACTTCTTATGTGTCCCACATCAAGCCAATGAGAAGGGTACTGTAGTTCACTGCCGACAAATCAACTAATTTACAGTACTTTGGGTCTGGAATAAGGTAAAAATAAACTCCAATCTCATCATCGCTTTCGGCCATCACCAATCACATCGACAACTGCTCTTTGACGCAAGTCGCCAACAATAGAGACTTTACTGTCGTTGTGTTGCCACTTCGTGAGGCCGTTTGTCAACGGAGGACCGAGCCTGCGCGAGGGAGGACACACGGGTGACAATTAGTCACAGAGACAAGTGGGCTCCGTGCGCGCTTCGCGCGCCGAGCCAAGTCCCTTCCTCCTCCGCTCCTCGTTCCGCACGCGCCGCCGTTCCCCGTCCCGATGCTGCCCCGCCCTCTGCGCTAACTCTCCCGTCCTCTCTCCGGTCTTCGTAGCCCCTTGCCCCCTCGTCCTGCCACGCGTTCGTCGCCCCTGCGCCCCGCGCGCGGTCCGCACCGCCGCCCTCCGCGGCGGCGCTCACATCCGCCTAACACTCCGCTCGCTTCCGCCTAACACTGCTATCCGGCGGCGGATCCCGGCATCCACCCGCCCGCGCGCTCCCTCCTACACCGCCGGCTGCGACACCTGCTCCGCTCGCAGCAACCACCTTCCGCGTTCCTCGCCCCTGCGTGATGCGCGCGGCCTGCGCCGCCGCCCTCCGCGCCGCCGCTCGCACCACCACCTCCACCGCCCTGTCCCGAGCTCACCCGTCTGCCACGTCCCCGAGCCGCAGGCACACCCCGCCCACAAGCCCGCAGAACGTCTACGCCACGCCCGCGTCCGTCCGCCCTGCCACCGCCGCCCACCACGCGTGTCACCCGCCACATCTCGCCGCGCACCGCGCTCTTCACCGCGTCCTGCCTGCTTATGTTGCGCAGCAGCCCCACGCAGCTCGCCACCACGCGCGCGTCGCCCTCCCGCCGCTCCAGCAGCGTCCCCGCCGTCGCGTGGAACCGCTTTGCGTGGAGCTGCATGCACACCTCGTCCGCGATCGCGCGCGCACGCCCGTCCCACCCTCCGCACACGCCCACCACGGCGTCAACGCCCGCCTCCGCTGCTACCCGGCACACCACGTCCGCCACCGTCTCTGTGCAACCCGGTTGACGCCCGCTCGCCGTCGCGCCTCCCCCGCCCCCCGGCACGCGCGTCCGACAGGTTTTGCAGCCCGCTCGCCGTCACGCCTCCCCGCCCCCCGCACGGGCGCCCGACAGCTTTCGCAGCCCGCTCGCCGTCCTACCTCTTCAGCCCCCCGGCACGCGCACCGGTTGAAGCCCCTTGTAGTACTCCACGCCGTCCAGCTCCGACCCGGTCCGCGGAGCGGACCGGGTCGGAGCTAGCGGAGCTCCGCTCCCCCCCGCGCACGCGCGCGTGTGGTGCTCCACGCCGCCCCGCCCAGGCGCCCCCCCCCTCTATTCGCCACGGACGCCCCACGCTCACCCTCCCACACCGTCCCCATCGCCGCCCCGGCCCACACCTCCTCCACGTCGTCGCCGCACACCCAAAACTGCTCTCCGCCCACCATCATCTTGCAGCCCACCGTCCCTGTCGCCGCCCGTCGCCGCCCTGCCCTGCACTTCCCCGTCGCCGTGCATCGACATCCGCTCCCCAACGTCGAAGCTTCACGCGCTGCGCAACTCCGCCTTGAAGAATTCCGGCCCCCCCCGGACAGCCGCCCGCGCACCACCGCCCCGCCCACGACGCCGTGAGCCTCCGGCAATTCGGGCAGCCCCGTGTCTCACGCGTCCGCCCCCCGTCGTACGCGTCCATCTACTACACCGCCGTCACGTGCTCGCAGTGCCCGCCCCAGTTCTTCCCACTATGTAGATCCGCGTGGCGCGGTTTAAACGAATCCGGGCTAAAATTTGTAGTGTACTGTAGCGCAGCCGCGCTCCGCAGTCCGCACAGTCATTTTAATTCTAATTTTTACACTTGTCGCCACTTGTCATCGCCACGTGTCCCCGTGGCGGCCCGGCCTGCGGCCAGGCCCCGCCCGTGGCCGCCAGGACACACGTGTCCCCGTGGCGCGGCCTGACCTGCGGCCAGGCCCTGCCCGTGGCCGCCATTTGTCACACAGACTGGCAAACAGACAGACAGACACGGATTTTTAGTGCCTGTGGCAGCCACGTGTCCCCGTGGCGCCCTGGTCTGCGGCCAGGCCGCCCCGCACGTGTCCGCCGCCACTTGTCACGCTACTTTTCACCGCAGCGCCAATGGCAAGGCAGGCACACACAGACTGGCAAACAGACAGACAAACAGACACGGATTTTAGTAGTTGTGGACAAGTGAGCTCCGTGCGCGCTTCGCGCGCCGAGCCAAGTCCGCGTGGAGGAGCAATAATTCGGAAGGGTGGCAAAGGCGAGATGTAAAGAGAATGGCGTTTACTTTTTTGATGACTACTGAAGGACCTCGGGGTACACTACGTTTCGCGTTGTTGCATCGGACTCTCGAGTGAGGATAGTGACGTTGCTAGAGTGAGTAGTCCTCGATAATGCGACGTAGATTTGACCGTGCGAGAAGCAATGATCTCGTAGGTCGAGACCAATGCGGCCACCGAAGGACTGGCCTTGGGCTTTGTTCGTTGTAAGGGCGAAGCACGTGCGAATGGGGAACTACGTTCGAGTAAAGCCAGGAATGGGAAATTGTCGTCACCTGGTCTGCAGGGCATTCGTGGAAGGCAGAGTCTGTTGCCTTCATGTGACCCCGAGGTAACGCGTAGAAAGAATAGGTTGTTGGTCATTTTCTCGATGACATATCGAGCGCCGTTGACGTGACCGGAAGTGGGATGGAGATTGCGCAGAAGCATGACGATGAAACCTTTCTTGAGCTTGAGCTTGTGGTCTGGTAGATCAGACCCGGCCGTCAAGGTGTTGAGCATTTCCGTGGGATAGATCAGCGCGTTGGTGTCTTCGCTCTCGACCTTGTCTGCGCTTAAATATGTTCGATACGGTCCCGGCATCATGTTGCCGATGACTTCGTTGACCTGCTCGAGCGGTCTGTTCTTTGTGGTGAGTATAACGCGCTTTGTGAGCCATGTAGGGTCGGCGTGATTGTCTCGAATGCCGTGGAAGACCTTGAGGCATAAATTGCGGATGGTGTGCTCGAACGCTACGGACTGTGGTAGTGAGATCCATTCCGGGCGCTGATCGCATTGAAGTCTGCCTTCCCCGACGCTGAGGAGGAACTGTGGGAAGTTGAGAGCCTCCACATCTGCTGCGGGGTCCCCTTGGAGAGCAGTGAGGCGCATGTTCTCGGTAAGGCACAGGAATCGGCACTCTCGATACAGCGGGGAAGATTTGACGCACGCGCTCACGATTTGACCTCTGGACCCGCCCGGAACGACGGGAAGGATTTGTCTAAAGTCTCCAGCGAGCACGAGGAACTTTCCTCCGAAGGGCCGGTCGGCTTGCATCAAGTCGCGAAGGGAGCGATCGACAGTCTCAATGCAGTTTCGATAGCACATGACGATCTCGTCCCATATGATAAGATCGACTTGTTGCAATGTACGACCGGTATCGGAGTTTGTGGAGAAGTTGTAAGTGCTTTCAGCAGATACAGGAATGGGAATCTTGAACACGGAATGAGCGGTGCGTCCACCGTCGAGCAACACTGCAGCAACAGCAGATGTGGCGACGGCGATGACTTGCTTGGGGCGCGAACGAAGGAAGTCTTGAATGGCGCTGAGCACGAACGTTTTGCCTGTTCCGCTAGGAGCATCGAGGAAGAAGAGACGACTACTTTGTGTTGGCATAGAAGGTCCGGCAACGGCGCTGGAGGATCCTTGAAGCAATGCCGAGACGGATACGCCTGGAAGCATGGAGCCTACTATTTCGTCAAAGGCATGGCGCTGATTTGTGTTTAACAGCGGCAACGATGTCTGTAGTCGCTCTTCGCACTACTGCGCTTGTGCTTCGGGTGTCTGGATCTCGTTTGTCTGTTCCGAAGCGGGCAGGCTGTCATCGGGGAGTGGGAGTCCGAAGTGTGCGAGCGTCCAGTTGGAACGCACCGTCTGCAGGGCCTCCTGTACCTCTCCAAGCACGTAAGCTGTGGCGTGGTGATCATCGCGAAACTGCTGTCTTCGAATGGGTTGTCCGCGTGCGCGATTGCGAATATCGGTGAGAAACATGTGCAGGTGGTCGTTCTACAGCGAGAGAGGATCCGAAGGTTGGCAATGTGCGAGAATCGTAGCGAACAGATGAGAAAGGGGAACGAAGCTTGACCGGAATGAATCTCAGATGACGTGCTTCCACTCGGCATCGTTGGCCAGCAAACCAAGTCGTAAGCACGCTTGTCGGAAGCTGGTGCACTGCTCGCCGTCGATGTTTCGCAAGTTCTCGAAGGATGTTGCCCCCGGCACCTGTGTGATGAGGAGGCGAAGAAAGTAGGGCTCACCCTCCCTCGGACTGACAGTATAGATTCGACCGACTACGTTGGCGCCCGTGCCACTGAAATCATAGGCTTCCTCTTCGCTGCTGGCGTTCCGTCTTCGCAGGGATGCTCTTGGACTCCATGACTTGCTGCTTTTCTTCCACGTAAAGTACTTTGGAAACTTGTGGTACCGAATATGCCTCGCGCTTGGGTAATTTTCGTTGGATTTGAACCACTCGGTCAGCTTCGTACCTGATGCCGGTCGAAGCGCCGCCTCCTGCTCTCTTCCTTCCTCAAAGTAAACCATATGGTGGTTGGGCAGATGCACTGAAAGTCTGACCACTGGAGGATTGCGATCCACAACATATCAAAGGAGAATAACCTCCATGCGGCCTCCGATGCAGACACGTATCTGGCATCTTGGAAGTTCGAGATCTCGTCGTAGCACTCGTTTTTGGCAGTGATTTCCATGGTCACTCGGTCTTGTCCCTTGCACACATACTTGAAGAGGTACCTGATTCCGCCAACGCGTGACACGCAGAGTTCCACATTCAAATGCAAAGCGAACGATCTTAGAAGTAGAGGACTGTGGGGCACGAACCAGGAGTTGTCGACCACGACGGATTGCTGTCGTCGGCCAATACGGGAGGGACGCTCGATGGAGACGCCACCTGCTCAGGGGGACCTTCTGCGGTACGTGATGTAGTACTCACTTTCGGACTGGCTGGTTTCGTGTTTGATCGGTTTTGGAAACCGTTTCCTGCAGTACTGCTCGCCCATGCACACGGCTGTTGGATTGCGTTCTCCACATGGATTGTGAATCATATGCTTAAGCACGACCTCTTGGAGTTCTGGATCTTGGGCAGACGGGATCTCGGCAGAGATAATGCGGTCGACGTTTTCGGGAGTACGCATATCATTCTTGGAGACTTCATCTAGGAAAAATACAACGTGAGCGTGGGGAAGACCGCGTTTCTGAAACTCGATGACTCGTACATGGGCAACAACGGTTCCGAATACTTCTTCGTTGATGACCAAGGACATGAGATCTTTCATTTTCAGACGAAACACACGTGCGCACAGATCCAGTCTGTCCTGAGAAGTTTGATTGGGCAGCAGTGCTCTTGTGATCTCCGGCCAGCTAGGATTGCATGTCATGGTGAGGAAGATGTCCGGGTGGCCAATTTGGTTAGATATAGCAATGATGCCGTGCATATGCTGCCTCATGTGGCGGTCACATCCGATGTGCGTAGAAGGGAGAATGAACAGTCGTCCCGCACGCACGGCATCGGCTTCATCTTCAGCACGACCGGAGTCTCCTGGGCTGTCGCGCAGTGAGGTGTAGTCGGCGGCTCGAAGCTGTGTCTGGTTGTGGCGGAGATACGAAAGCCTTTCTGCCTCCACTTTGCAGAACTGGTCAACCAAATATTGCTGAAAGAGTCGCGCTGCGTGCAAGATTGTGCTGAACTCGCCTGCTCTTTCGAACAAATGCCATCCGTAGTACATCATCGGAGTAATCTTGGTACGTCTGCCGTCGTCATCACTGAAGAATCGAAGCTCTGGATACCATCCATCTCTACCGTTCGGGAACAAAAGCACGTAACTCAACGGATCGTATGCACGATGACTGACTGAAATCGGATCCAGCACTTCGTTCCCGTTACTGTTCAGAGTCCCTCGCCTGCGCACGACGATATCTCTTCGCCCAATCTCTCCGTCTTCATTTCCAGGGATCAATGCTGCCACTTCAGAAGCTTCGGGACCATTGTACCGGCGCACGTGCTCATGACTTGGCCTGCGGTCGGCATGGATGAACATCTGGTACGGGGCTGGAGTGTTGGGTTGAGGGGATTGAGCCCATTCTCGCATACTGAGAACAGTCTGCACGTAGGGGTTGCATTCGTGCAGCATGTGCGTCAGTTGCATTATCAATGCCTCTTCCAGTCGTGTAGAGTTTCCAAGCCTTGTACTCGTCTGGGTGGCGTAGTCAGTGTCGTGAATGTAAACGGAAGCGTAGGAAGGCACCCGCCCCTCGGATGGCATCATGGGACCCATGTAATGGTACATCTCGCCCTGCATCGTCATTGTTGGGTTAAAATTGGAAGGGCCGGGCCCTCTGTTCACCCATTTGGCGACCACAGATGCCATAGACAGCGCTGCATTGTATGCTCGAATGTTCTTACGGAAGCGGCGGGACCTTTGAGTATCATCGATGAGAAGAGAGCGCAGAAGAGCTGGAGGGTCGGGAAGAAGGGGCAATGACAGCTTTCCCTTCTTGCAGCATGTGGAAAACATCGGCCTTGCCGCAGAACTGCTCAAGAGGCGTTCTTGGACGAAATGCAAAGCTTTGCAGTGCGAACACTCAGTACAGATCATGCCGAGATCGCGGTACGAAGGCGAGGAGTCGGGAAGTGGAGATAAGAGCTGTCGGGAAGCACTTCGAGCGTGGCGGTCGGACCCTTGCCGCGCATTCCGAATCGGTGTGTCCTGTGCATCCCTTGATCGTTGGGTGGAGAGACGGTCAAGGTCTGGCCGCGCTTCACGAATGGGAGTACATTCCTCTGCTCTAGCGCTTCGTGACGCAATGCGCTCCCTTCGCACCGTGCATCTCGGAGGGGGGTTGTTTGTTCCGCTCTAGCGCCCCGTGTCGCAATGCAATGCGCTTCGCGCCGTGATTCTCGGAGGGGGGTTGTTTCTCCCGCTCTGCGCGCCCTTGCTCTCTCCCTGCCTCGTTGGAGACGCTCTTGGCGCTGCTCAGGAGTCTCTGCTGCTCGTCGTGCTGCAGTACGTTCCCGGTTGGTTGGGGGACGCGCTGCAGTCTCAGATTCGGTTTGTTGAGCCCTCCGGATTCTCGCACGGTCTCGACCTGCCTCACGACGTGCTTGAGCATCAGCTTCAGTCTCTTGCGCTCTTCTTGCCTTGCACGCGCGTTTCTTTGCTGCCTTCTTGCTTCTGCCACGTCTTCATCCACTGGTCCCGCCTTTTCCGTTCTGCTCGGCACGCTAGTGAAATCCTTGTAAGTGCAGCTAGGGTTGACGCAAGTGCGAGAGGTCCGTTGTAGATCGCCATGAGTCGTAGCAAGCAGTCCTCAAAGGTCAAAACGCAACGTCAGCCAGCAAGGTCGTCCGCGAGAGCAATTAGCAAAGTAGTAACAATAGGGCCTTTATTTTCTTGTACTATCCCGTGATAGATCGGAGCTTACGCTTGTGCTTCTTGCCCGCCAGATGTCGCCTGAAGTCGTGTGCAGTGGCAACCGTGCACGCACACACCTCGCACCGGAATGTTCGGCCCGCTTGATTCACTTGAGCCACATGCCCCTCAGTATGCGCATGCCCATCCTACAGTACCGCGCGCGAGCAATGAAAGTTGCAGGTGTCACACGTGTATACGGGGACACTGCGCAACACAGCAGTGACAGCTGGCAACGTGCGCGCACGCGGCCGCTCGATCGCACGTGGCACACGTAGCCCACGAAACGTAGGAATGACAGGCGGAGGTAAACGTGTAAAACGTGGGACCGTTGCGCGCGATACACGTGGTGCGGGTGCCGGCGCAGGGGCCGGCGGAAGACGTGGTACACGTGGCAGAGGGGCGCGCGGTACACGTGGGGCGGGCGCGGGGGCAATCGAAGGGACGTGGACACGTGGGGCGGGCGCACAGGGCGGGGCTGGATGAGTTACGTTGACACGTGTCGACGCTGTGGGGGACTCGGAAAAGTTCAGGCGGATCGGGGTAGCGCCGCGTCGCGCGGCTCGCAATTCTGGGCGTTCTTCTTGAGTAGACACTTCGCAGAAAAGACACACACCGTGTATAGTCAGTAAGCGTTCGCGTGCGCTCAAATGCCGCGGGCAGCAAGCTGGCCAGAGCATTGAGGACAGTTATTAACTTACTCACTTGCGTAGACGGTGTGCGCGGGGATCGGTAGAGAACGCGAAGCGGGTCGGGAGTGTATTTTTTATTTTTTCTGTACTGTAGTGTAGCATTCAAAATTTAAATTTGTACTGTACTGTAGTGCTACGATCGTGCCTAAAGCCACCTCGTGTCCACGTGGCGGACCTGGCCTGCGGCCAGGCCCCGCCCGTGGCCGCCACTTGTCACGGCAGCGCCCCCGTGCGCCAATGGCAACGCGGGAACGCACACACAGACAGACAGACAGACACGGAAATTAGTATTAGTACAGGATAGGACGAGGCCCAAACGCCGAACGCGATGGTTAAGCAGCTTTCACTAAAAATGTGTTTACTGCTTTTTCTTCTACCCTCCTCCAGGTGCTAGTCACCGGGTGGGGAGCTGAGAATAGTATACCCCCCCTTTTTGACGGGGAACACACACAGGGTATTGCGGGAGCATCGACCCCTCGGTCTCCCGTGAACGAATAAAGACAATGTTATTGGCTGTAAGCCAAAAAGATTGACATTTCCCCTATTCGTTCACGACAATTCCTGTCTGTCCCTGCGAAATAAAACGAAATTAAAATTACGGAAAAATGACTGCTAAGTCTCGCTTACGTGGCACTGGAGTGGTGTCTTGGCCACACGACAGCTTCTTCGACTCGTATCGTATAATAGCCTGCACTCGCAAGCGGTCGCCCGCTTCTTGTCCTGCACACGAGACGGTCCACCTGAGAACAAAAGTGGACACAAATCTCCGGGGAGGTGTTCCAATATCTAGTATCGATGAGGCCAGATGACATGGGGAATCGAGCGTATCGTTGTTGGAGACGGCACAACTGGGAAATGCGGAAAGACACTGCGTGATGGTGCACTGTACGCGTGGGGTGGAGTGACCGGAGGACCGGAAAGCTTTTGACCAATCGAGCCAAGTTCGCTGAAACTAACCCCATACTCCTTCTTGGCGATGATCAAACAACTCCACACAGGGACGGGCGTACAGGAAGACGAAGCAGCAAAAAGCCATGAGTTGCTACGCCAATTGTTAAAAATGATGGAAAGGTGTCGTGGAACATCGATGGTCGTTGGAGGGATTGGAGCTCGTGGACATATCTCCGGGTCGCGCAAGTTCGAGGTTGACGACTACGGACCAAATATCATTCGGAGTAATAATGAGACGTTGTGCCAGCGGCTGTATCCAACGCATGCGAATCTTTGTACGAGGAACACACCGCTTTGCAAGTCAAAAAATATTTTGACTCGGACCCGACGAGGTTAAAACATTGAAGCAGCTTTTCATTTTTGTCCATCAGCTTCCGGTCGGGATAAATGTTCGGCGTATCCCGAAAACGGAGAAAGGTGAATTCAATAAGAATCCATTTAAATGGTTGGTCAATCGGTGCACAGGTATAGGGATTGTCAGAATTACACAACATGGCATTGTGGACCACTGCGTAGCTGTAGACTGCAAGAAGGGCATTATACATGATAGCTCGTCACTTTTTCCGTTCGCGCTCACTGAGGATATCTTACGACGAGTCGGCGGTGATGATGCAACTCAATTAAGAGTAGCTGAGGTACGGGAGATTGTTAAGGTGACACTGAAAAATAAGAAAAAAATTCAAATAAACGTAAACGTGATAACTGAGCTTCGGTTCAGTTTCTGACTATCCATTGTTCAGCTCGAATAGATAATTTTCCTGCCCGCAAAACATCCATGAGGGCCTTTTGATGCATCTTCTTAGTGAATCCATCAGCAACATTATTGTTGCTCCGCACGAAACCAATGTCACTGATTTCCTTCTTCCAAAATCCTTCTTTTGCCACCGCGATGTCCAACATGAGCCTCTTTTCCGCGGTCCTCGTACCCTTGGATATCACATCGACCAGCGACTTGCTATCCGTGTATAACTGTACTGGAATAAATTTGACCTGCATGATACTCCGTAGATTCTCGGCCAAGGTAAAACAACAGTCAAACATGATACTTAAACTTATTAACTCCGCTTCAATTACCGATCGCGTCACCCTACGTGCCTTGTATGACTTAAAGGCGATAGGTAGAACTGCTTCAGTGGCATCAGACAGAAAGCAGACGTAACCAAAGGTGGGACGTGAGGTCCGAGTTGCTTGCCAATGACGTGTAGTGCAGTGCACCTCCACACCGCCAACGAGGGCGTAAATCTCGCCGTTGAAGGCGCGACGCAAGGTACAGTAACCACCAGGGTGTTCGAGTCCCTCTGTCCGGGTGACTCAGGGGAGTCGACGCGGTACCGCGGGTACATCGCGGTGTGCGTGAAGGGGTGCACTCTAGCGGGAGTGCGTTAGAAGGAGTAAACAAGAAGAAGAAGAAAGAAGAACGAAGAAGAAAGATAGTGTAGAAATGTAGAAAATAGGGGAAAAAGTAATGGAAAAACAACAAAAAGGATGACGACGAAGGGTGCAGGTACCAGACTTAGCCAACTAGATAGGAACCGTAGAGGATCCTACCAGAGATGGGGTCCGATCACCTGATGCCTCTTTACTGTAGCGCCTTCCGACACCCGACCTATATAGGCCGAGCGCCGTCGTCGGCGTCGGTTACTAAATGGATAATTAATAATTAATTATCGTCATTAGAGTTGCCACTTGGCATTAGACAATAATAAGCGTAGAAACTTGTGGGCACCACGCATGTATACGTGTCGTACACGTGTCATACACGTATCATATACGTGTCATACGATTGTCATACACGTGTGGCCACGTGCAGTACACGTGGGGTACCTTCCCAAGTGTGCGCGCACAGTACACGTGTGGCGCGCTTATCATACACGTGTGGTATCATCCAAAGTGTACATGTACACTTTGGATGAGTACACGTGTCATAGACGGGAGCGCACAGCATACACGTGTGGGCTCATCCAAAGTGTACATGTACACTTTCGATGAGCACACGTGTTACACACGTGTCAAAGGCTGGGAACGCGGCCCCGCGACGGCGGTGACAAGAGATAAAGAGCGCAGGGTCACTGCACTACATGACGCATCAGAGAAACCCACAATACAAAGAGAGCTAATATCAAGCTTGGGGACTTGAATCTGAAGTCGATGCATACGGACATGCTTCACCATTCTATTGCAGTTCTTGATAACTTTTGACGGCTCGAGGTCAAAGCGCTCCCGTGTCACTTGTGCTATTTGTGACACCTCATAGGAACAGTCTGGACTTGTATGCATAAGCCATGCAAGTTTCATTCTCAACGACGCAAAGTCCGAAAAGCGTGCATCAACACGAAGCGATAGTATTCCCTTTACATAGGAATGTTGGTCGATAGAGAGTGAGCTGCTTTCGCCCAGTTCTAGTCTGAATCCGGTAAAGGTGCAAGGCGGTAATTCGTCGTCTGCCATCTCAAACCGTTCACATGTTCTTTTCAACATTTTTCGGAAATCTTGATCCCCAGCGCGGATCAGGTCATCTACATATGACCCTGAGAGCCCCTTGAG